ATTTAAGACATGCGTGATTTAAGGCTCGCTCAGCGAGAAAAAGCGAATCAGGTTCGACAGAATCTCACTTCTTTGAAATTCCTCAATTTTTGTTTCCATAGCAGTAGATGACCTTAGCCTTTGTGGGAAGGGGAGTTCTTTATATAGACAAACTATAGGAAAAATGGTTAGTATAATAGTTTTAAATTAAATTTGTAATTTTAGTAGTAACATATTAATACAGATATTGCTTATGCAAAATTTAGTTCTGAAAATAAAACTAAATTGGTTAAGAAAAATTGTTTGAATTTAATGATCCTGAGCAACCGAAGAAATTCTAAGAAAAGTAGAGAAGCTGATGTCCCTTCTGTATGTCCAGTGGCAATCCGTCAAACATCAATGAGTTACGGATAGAAACCAATAGGAATACGTTTTTACTAGGATATGAATATAAATCGTTCAATAGGAATGATGCTAACGACAATTGATTTATTTATTTAACTCAGTGATATAGTTCAGCTTTTAGCTTGGACATCTCTATATTGATTTTTTATTTATTTATTTTGTTTATTTATTTATTTTTGTTTATTTATTTTTTTATTTATTTCAAGATAAAGAGATTTTTTAAATAATTCATTATTGCAGTTTTTTCATTTGACGAATTTTTTTTAACTTTCCTATTTGTATTTTTTTTTTTTTTATTTAAATGTTGGAGTTAAGTTGAACGTTAGAGCATTTAATTTCCCTTCGTGCTTTCAGATAAATATGTAACTAAGTATTTAGCAACGAATAAATGAATAGAGTTTTTTCACTGTTCATTTATTATAGATCTATTAACTTTAACTTTCAACGACCTAATTTTTCTGCTCTTTTATGAAAACAAAAATGTAATACTTTATATTCTGTAAAAAAAACGAAAAAAAAATTCTGTACGAAAAAATAATAATACTTTATTTACAGTGTAAAAGATTATTTAGATATTAACGATGATAATTTTCATTTAGTGGATATTCAATAAAATACTTGTTACCTGGTTTCCATTTTATTCTAATTGTTTGAAATGAAAAAGATACGTGAGTTTCTTTTAAAAAAATTGCCCCAAATAAAGAGCTTATAATTTATTTATTTGATTATGTATTTTTGTGTTTGAAAATTTTCTCAGCAGAAATGTCAACATTTGAAATTTAATAGTCCCCATAAAAGGTTGTAATATTATGTAATTGTTTATGTGATTTTTGATATTATTTTTGAAGATTTAAAATCTTATTATATTCCTTTATCAGTATTATTTTGTGACATATTAAAGTATATTGTCAATCGATATTATGGTTTTGTGCTGTATATCTCAAACTGCATCAAAACTATAACTTTTCACAAACCCACAGAATCGGGATATTCCTAAAGGGAGTTTTTTTAGTTTATTTTACCATCAGCATTGAACAGTCAACCCGTGTCAGATTTTGGCTATACTTAAATTCAACTATGTACTCTTTCAATTTTAAATTCAATCTAGAAGACAAGGAACTTCTCAATCAAGCACTAGGGCAAACTCGCGTAAACGGAGTTTTTGAGTCGAACTAACCGGCATTTACGTTACATAAACAGTAAAACCACGAAAATCTCCCACGATTTGCTATTTGGCAAGAAAATTATAACCCATGATTCATCTACCAGTAGGTATATTTTTCATCAGTCGGTGCGAGCCGACTTTGTAAGTATTTGAATAGTATATAATTCATAGTGCGAGTATATGAATTGAACAGGAATCGCCGGAATTTGAACCTGGGTCATCTTATTAGCCAAATCTATCTTTAGAGGAGTGGAATTGGATGAACCTCTTTTTTGGCTATCAAGTGAATATGGCTATCAAGTGATTTGGCTATCAAGTGAATATGAGAATAGCATCTTAACTGAAATATACACTGTTAAAAAGCCTCGCCCATCATACATTGTTTATTGCTTTATCATGGGCACCAGACGGTGAAAGAAAGAGATATGGATCCAAATTGACTTACAGACTATTCTAATTTATAAGAATGGCTTTGATGGGGGAGGAATTAGGACAGTATTAGGCAAAATTAAGAAATATTGCTATTGGCTACTTGTAGCATTTTTAAGCATCGACCACTTTTTAAATTAAGTGCCCCCTTTTCTCGAAAATTGAAACTTTTAAGCGATCAAAAATCTTTTGACACTAAAAATGTAACTCATTCTTTTGAAGAATTTCTCAAAATATGTAAAACAATACACATTTTAGAATACTACATAATATTCATAATGATTTTATATTTATCAATAATAATGATAAAATGCACATAGGATTCATTTTCGTCGAAAAAAGTGGCGCTCGGGTGGCAACTTGCAGACAATTTTTTAATCGCCATATGTTATATATAGTCGTCCTCCGACTGGGGACAACCGTTAATTTTGCCATTTGCTGAGTAGACAGTAGTACTTGATGAGGATAACATGCCAAATTTCTCAGCTATCCTAGGTATAGAGGGAAAGGAAGTAAAATAGAATAAAATAAATGTTATAATTAACATAAAATAATTCAAATCCTTCGTTTTGCCAATTTAACTGAAAATAAGTTTAATTTAATACATTTAAAAAGAAAAAGAACTACAGATGCAGTATTATAACGTCTATTTAAAAATGCTGATTGCATTATTTTACTGTTTTCTTTTATATTTCATGAAAATCTTTAAACGATTTTTTAGAATGCTCATCCTACAATGTTGATTCTACTTTAAAAAATAATTCTAATTTTTAAAGACCACACAATAAATGATGTGCCTAATTCAAAAATATTAGTAATCGATATTATTCCCGAAGATCAAAAAGCCTAAGATGAAAAATTACAGGAGAATTATAATTTTGTTAATGTATGTATTCTAGATCAAAGGGGACAATTGCCTAGGAAAAGGAAAAGCCAAATGGATGTTCTGGTATTCTGAATACAGTAGAATCTTTTGTTCGGTTCTTTGGAAAATAGCCACTTGTTTCAAGACTACACATATAATACGATCCATTCGTGTTTCTACCTTGAAAAAGATATTAGAGGATAAGATTTCTATAGCAATTTATGTTTTATTACATAAATGTAAATTAATTAAAAATGGAAGTTTCATTTAAAACAAAAGCATTATCATAACTTCTTGGGTAATTACTCTTTTTAAAATATGAACACTTTTCTACTTAGTACTCATTTTAATATATTGTCAGACGCCTTTTCTGTCAATAATGATAATAAAAATTATGAAATAGGTTTTTTTTTTCTTCTTAATAAATTAGTAGTTTTAGAAAAGCTCAGACAACTCACACAACCTCAATACCTGACGGAACCATAGATCATTCAATTCCAAAATTTTTCTACTTTGTTTAAATATTGGTACTCGTTTAGCAAGAAAAATGCCACATCAAGTGATAAACATCGATAATAAAAATAAAAAAGTTATCGATGATCTTTTCTTTCTTTTTGAAGTGAAACTTCTAATGCGACTTCCAACAAGGTTGCGTTAAACGAGTAACGCTACCGTTGTCGTGGAAACTAGATTTCTCTTTACGTTCGTTGAGCGCACGAGGTAAGAGAAAAACATAGTTTTAAAAACAGTTAGTTCTTTGAAATTTATTAACAGTAAAACATTAAGATTTTAAAAATCTAATCAAATGACATTTTATTGCTCTGTTACATACATATATATTTCTTATTTTAAGCTTAATAGTTGATAAATCTTTGAATAAAAATTTATACTGTGCGCAAAAAGAACACCTCTGAATAACTTTTGATCTATTGACCGGATCATAATGTTCCAAAACTTAATGGTTTGAGGGGGTGTGTGACTTCAAATATGCTAATTAATTAGTGCAGAAGATAAATTAAGTTAGGGAATCATACACAAAAATATACTTTTTCTTTAAAAAATATACTTTTTTTGACTGATTCGGATTTCTGACCTCAGAATATAGGGGGTAGCCGTAATCTTTGAAATTCGGCTCCAATAGTTTGATCATTAGAGCTGTCCATAGTTTGAGACCCTTAATGCTAATTTTTACTTTTTATGCATTTCACCATACCTTGAAAACTTTTAAGGAGAATTAGAAATTTTTTTGTACATAATTATAAAATTCGTTTATCTAAAAACAACTCCATTGAGAAAAAAGAAACTTATATTAAATACTTGTTATTTTCCATAATTTTAATTAATATTAGTCGAAAAAATTTTGAATTGTAAGGTATATTTTTCGTACCATTTTAAGGAACATAATTTTACTCGGCAAAATACGAAATTTGAGCAAAATTGGTCCAACAGTTCCAAAGAAATCGAATTTTAAAAGTACGACTTTTTTAAACAACTTTTAAAACGTATAAATCTGTATATTAAAAGACTCTAACACAAAAAAAATTTATTATTACTGAACTAATGTGGAATATAGTTACAGAGAGGAAAAAGATAAATATATTTTAAATAAATATTATTCAAATGCTAAATACTTCAAATTCCTGAGAAATATTCTGGAAATATTGCAGTATATAAAGTTATAAATTTTTTTTTAAAAACATAAGTGATTCACAGTACCAAATTTTAGCGCCAAGAAAACTTAAGTAGAAATTTTTAAACATAATATTTCAATGATTAATTGATTTTATAAATAAATTCAATTTAAAAAAAAAGACTTTTCTTTTAATGGATAAAAATAGTAAGTTTCTTACAATTACTTTTATTTCTCTGCGTTCAAACATTGCAAGTAGTAATTATACTATCTTAGAAACATGTGTAATAACCACAGAATGCTAATTAAATTTAAATTATGCTGACTTAAATTAGATGAAAAAAATGTTTCTACATGAAATTTAAAATGCATTGATTAAAAGTCTGAATGACACTAAGCAATTAAATATATATTGTCATGAAATACTATTAATTATAATAAGCATAAAATCAAATTTCAAAAAAATAAGAAGCTAGCGGTTAGAACGTAAATGTTATTTGCATTAATATTTTTAAAGTTTAAAATCGTTATATAAATAATTTCCATTTCGAATGGCAACGTTTGTTCGTTTTCTCACGTTCTTTTTCGTTTGCACGTTCTAATTCGAAGTCGTTCTATTTTAGAATCTGAATTTAACATCTCAAAACGACAAAAATATTTCGTTAAACATGAAGTTTCCTGAAAAATTATGGTGCATAGTTAATAACTGTAAAAGTGGAGCCATCGGATGGACTAATAATGGCGATTCAATATTTTTAGTCTATGAAATATTTAAACAAGAATTTTTGAGTGGAGAAAATGCTGCTTTCAAAACTAACAATATCAATAGTTTTGTTCGGCAGCTAAATTTATATGGTTTTAAGAAATGCAATAGATTTAATGAAGAGCTACACGAGTTTAAGCAACCCTTCTTTATCAGGAATCGAAAAGATTTATTGTACAAAATTCACAGAAAACCTGGATCTCCCTATGACGCAAAACCAGACAATTTTTCAACCGTTTCAAAGAGCAAAGTAAGTTTTTAAGTAATCATCCATTGTATGTTATTGTAACTTTGTATCAATCAAAGATTTAAATATACGTTTAATGTTTTGGCGGTAAAGTTACTATTTTTTTATAGTTTCAAGGTCAATTCTTTTTTTAAGAAATGGACTAAATCGAGAAACAATTATTTCCCGATAAGATAGTTCAACTATTTATTCGTTACTTCTTAAAATTTTTATTTTCTTACTAGAAATCATAATCCATTAAATTTTTTTTAACATTCTAAATGGATAATAATAAAATAGAAATTTGCACTTTCAGCTAATCATAAGTTGGTTCTATCTAAATATGTGTTTATCAAACGATAATGCGTTTTTTAAGCATCTATCGGTCAAAAATAAGATTTTGACGCAGTTACCAAGAATTCGTATTTGGATTGAAAAGCAAATATTTTGTTCAAAGACTTTTTTTTTAATTCAAAATTTTAAAATTTACATAGTTTTCATTAGTTTTGGAGGTTATTGCTTGCATATTTATTCATTTATTATTATTTTTTCTGCATTTAAGGCCAATGTCTTCTAATATAAACTGAACAATCTAGAAACAACTCAACATAATTTTTTACGAAACATTGTAAAATTTTACAAAATTTGGAATTAATTTCATTCCAAAAGCAACTGTAACAAATTTTATCTTTCAAACAATCACCATAGAACTATTTCTTAGAAAAATTTTTCTTGATATCTTATTTTCTTAAAAATAATACTTCGAAAAAAAAAAAAAAACACTTTTTGCCAAACGATCTTAATAATGGCGAGTTTCTGGAATCGTTTTCACTTTCTTCGCTTCAATTCTTTTTCAACTATTGTTATTTATTTGCAGCTGTACTTTTTTGATGTGCTAACAAGGAAAATTGATAATAGCCTCGAAATCCATATTAAAATTTTATTATTGTATATAAATATTTTCCAACATAAAATAATTTTATTAAAATATAGATATATATATATAGAATTTAATTAACTTTTTTAATTTTAGTTCTGAATATATTTGTCATCAAAGTTTGTGTATTCCGCATAAGTAAAACTGCTAATTTAATATTGCGATACAAATAACGGGAACGTGCAAGTTTTAATACAAGTTTATATAGCAAATAATGCAACCAATCCTTTCTGAAAAAGTCTCTGTGTATGGTATACTCAGATTTGAAAGGACATTCAAACATCGTTAACTTGGCGATAATTTAAGAATATATAAAAAATACTCATTTGAAGTCTTTATTATGAAGTACATTGTAGTTCATTTGTATACAACGGAGTCGTGGAGAAGAGGGAAAGGAAGGAGATTCAAGATATGGAACCTGTATTCTGCCCTGATGGCATATTCGAGTGTTGCGCTCGCGAATACCTCATTGTGCAGTTCTAGTGCAATGCAAATTAAGTACTACCTTAGTACAAAGTCTCGCTAACTATAGTCTGCTTAATTTTTAAAATGTAATAATTTGTCTGAAGTCAAAACAACTTTGACATTATAGTTTGTTTACCAGGAGTTGGCACTTGACTCCGCCTTCATCACGTGGTATCCGACGCTACTAATTCGCTATTTTTAGGAGAAGGATGGGAACAATCCTGAACAAGGTTGCTATTTGGCGATCATATGACAAAAATATTTATTTCGCAATCTTTATGTGTATTTTTTTAACATTAAATATTTCATAAATTTGATGATATTTCGTTCTTTTGAGTGATTAGTTTGTTCTTTTTGAGACATTTTGCTGGGAAAACAGTTTTTAAACTTAAAATAGATTTAATTAGCTAGAGTAACGAAAGGTATAATAGAGGATGATAAAACGAAGTAAGTGAGTGCAAAAGAATTTACTGTTTGCGTTTGGTGCGCATTAAGGGTTGTCTCATTTTCAAGAGCGGAGATGTTTCTCCTCTTACTCCCGCTCTGAAATGAACTCTGTGTCTGAGGCCAACTCCTGGTGAAAGAGCTATAATTGAATTAGAATTTTTTGTTGCTTAAGTAAAATACTCTGATATCTGTAAGTATGCTTACAAATAATTTTAATTTAACCCGTTTGCTTTANTAAAATAAGAACTTTTTACTTTTTACTCGTTACTTTTTTTAAAAATACTTGTACTTTTACTCGTTACTTTTTAAAAGTAACGTTGCCATCTATGGTGATTAGTTTATCCTTTTTGAGACATTTTGCTGGGAAAGCAGTTTTTAAACTTAAAATATATTTAATTAGCTAGAGTAACGAAAGGTATAATGAGGATGATAAAACGAAGTAAGAGAGTGTAAAAGAATCCACTGTTTGCGCTTGGCGTGCATTAAGGGTTGTCTCATTTTCAAGAGCGGAGATGTTTCTCCTCTTACTCCCGCTCTGAAATGAGCTCTGCGTCTGAGGAGGTGGAACCAAGGGCCAACTCCTAGTGAACAAACTATAATTGAATTAGAATATTTTTGTTGCTTAAGCAAAATACTCTGATATCTGTAAGTATGCTTGCAAATAATTTTAATTTAACCCGTTTGCTTTATGCACACACATTTATGATGAGGTTTAGGTACGGATCTAATATTTCTTATCTTTTAGGTTCCACTCGAAGACAAACATAATTCTACTCTTTGTGGACTTGCAAATTCGACGCCAAAGAACTGCAAAATTTCGACTCTAGATTTAAGTAGGAACGACAACGAAAAGTCTAAACACTCTTCATCAAACCATTTCTTAGAAGTTTCGGCACCTTATCATTCTTACGTTCAAAATGGCTGGCTACCTGCTGATGCGGCATTTTATAATTCTGAGAAGTCGAAATCAGGATTTCCGAATGAAGTTGAAAACAAAGAAAATGCTTATTGTAACCAGTCAGCCGAAAATGACTATGTTCCATACAATTTGGATATATCTCCTAACGCATATATATTTGTTGTGCCTAGTTACGCTCTTCAGCTACCTCCATTTACAAATCAAGACATTTTTAATAGTCTTATGCACTTTATGGTTTATCCCACCATGGGATTAAGATCGTAAGTCAAAAACAAACTTTTTGGAAGAAACAAACAATTCTTCAAGTATTTCTTTCACATGAGTGTAGAAAAAAAAAGCTTTGTTATAAGCTTTTAAAGTTAAATAAAGTGCAATGACTTTTCTCACACTTAGTTAATCACATTTGGTACATATGAGTATTTATTCTCAACATCGTATATGAATGCATATAAAAATCAACATCTAAACAACGCTTAAGGCATGTTTTAATTTCTACCATGTTTGGTCTCATTTTTCTGTTAGAAAGGTGAGGAATACCACCTAATAGTTCGAACTCTGAAATAATTGCTTTAAAGAAATGCAATATTTTATACTATTTTATTTATAAAATTGATAATAGCACTGTTTATTTTGTCCACTCTCAGTAGCTGACAACAGTTTTGATTTTCTAGAGACATTCTCCAAAACGAAACTAATTAGTAGTCAATTTATACAATACTTAAACACAATATTAAACAAATTTTTTACAAATGAAAGGGAAAAAATGTTTTAGGCCCATTAAAGTAGATTTTGAGTAAGAAGTCGGGAGCCATTTTTACACAGCATTGCCCATCTGCATTGTATAATAGGTCTCGAGGAGAACCAATTTACTATATTACTGATTTCTCAGATATTAGTTTTTCCCAAAAATCAATTTTTCACAAAATGCAGCAGATGGTGATCCAATCGTTTTGGGTTTTGTGAAAAATGAGCAAAAATCGTTCTTCTCTATTGCTTTTCATATATGTTACAGTTATTCGTGTGACGTGGTTGCGAAAAATAATTGCAAGAATTATTATTTTCATCAGAAAATGAAAATTTGTTAACTTCGGGAACAAAATTAGAGCCGTGTTCATAAACTAAGCAAAACCAAAAAATAATTTTTTTTTTCGATTTACTTTCTTTTTGACTGGCAGAGAGGTTGTCTTTATTTAATTTTTTCATTTGACTCTTCAACCAATTTTCTTTTCTGCAATGAATGCTTCCTTTATTTTTATATGAATATTATGTTTTATGATATTTTGAAATATACAGATCATTCTTTAATGGTCACCATACTTAGCATTGTCAGAAATAAAAACAGAAAAGTATACAGATCTAGCGAGAAAAAACAGACACGCCATCAAAATCTTAAGTAAAAGGCGGAAAATTTCTTTCGAATTATTCCTGTTCACCTTAACTTATATTCGTTTCCTCCGGGAGCCACAAAGTTTTTGATGCCACATCTTCCTCACTTTCCACGTTTAAATTTTTCTTTGCGACCATTAATGTACCTATTTTACACTTGTAATGAAGAATATGAATTAAGAGTGATCATTATTGAATACCCTGTGAAATTTCTACTTATCCCATACTAAAAGAATCTTATTGTTACACAAAAATTTCCATGCCTTATACAAGATGCAGAAATTTAAGAGAAAAAATTAGAAACCACTAATATAACATTTTTTATTTTACACGGATAGGAATTTCAATGCTGTTGTGTTGCCAGCAGTATGTTCATCCAAAAGATAAAGAAATCCTCGGCTTTTATAATCTACATTAATCTCGTTATTAAACTTACCAAATTCTAATGTTTTTTTAAAAAATTTATGAAATTATTTTTCGTTAAAAATTTCACAATTAAAATTGTAAAATGGAAATTTGTTACCTAACGATTTTATGTCTCTTGTAAAAAGTGTTTTTTTTTTCTTGTTCACAACAGAAATAATCATAATTTCTTTTTTTTTAAATTCAACATTAAACCTAAATTACTTAACTAAAAATCGATCTTTTTTAGTTAAATAGTTTAGGTTAAAATTTTGTGAATAACGAAAAACATATACTATTTGTTTTCTTGTTGCACCCTTCCTATTCATGTCTTTCCCTTTGCGAATATCTACGTATTACATGGTTTAAACCATTTTTCTTAGTAAACCTTTCTTTCATGTTCTTTCAGCTTATTCTAAAAATACAAGAGAGAGTATGGGTTCTTCATAAAAATAGACAGCGAAATTTTGTTTTATTCAATACTGAGATTATTGTCATAGATGTTAACGACGTCACTTTGTTTCAAGTTGTCAAAAAAATTAGCAATTTATTTTTGATAGTAGCAGTCCAGATAGTTACAATTTTCATACATGGAAAAAAGTTTATTCTTTTGTTCGGGTGATATCTTTCCTTATACATATGAAATTCATTCTTCAAAGCAGTACTTACAGGGTAATTCATATTAGCAATAAAAATCTTTTCCTGATCCCCATAATGAGTTCTTTCAGTGATGTAACGCTATCAATAATTCCTTTCATCCTCCAGTCGACAGAATCTCTCATTTTGAAAATATCATAAAACCTGCTATGCCCTTTAACGTGCTATACCCTTAACAATAATATTCTTCCATTTCTTTTGAAAAACCTTTAAACTACTGCAATCCTGTTGGTAGGAAGATATTTAAAAATTTGGTGTATCTGGTAAGAGCATATCAGCAAGTTATTTTAACACTCTATTTTCATATTCCTTATAAACTTTCTCAGATGACCAAGTTCTAGAATCAAAATCCAGCTTTCTGAGTATTGTCTTATTTTCCCTTTCGTATTTGGCTCTGACCATAGTCTGCTAGCTATAAATACTGCAGCTTTATGTTGTAAATTAGACGGCTCTGATATGTAATTAAGGAAATATCCATTTTCTGTGTGAGTCTCTGAATTTTCTGTCTTTTTTTTCCCCCACATTATAAAACTCATTTTTTTTTCTTTTTATATCTAAAAAATATAGTTATCAATATTAATAAGAGTTTTAATCAGCATTAAAATATGATGCATCGCTTACATGCAACCTAATAAATATATCAAAGATCTTTTCGAAATAAAATTTCGTAAAGATTTTAAGAACTTTTCTATAAAAGAGTTCTTCATATCAATTTGCAGATTAGTTCCTGAAATTTTAAGTGAAAATTGATTATTAATGAAATTAGTTTAATTAAAAATCACACTAGCACTGTTTTTAGGCATTTTTTTTCACACCGAAATGACTTCAAATAATTAAAACTTCAAAATACGAAAATAAAAAAATTTCTTATAAAAGAAGAGGTTTATCTCAAATGGAAGTTTTTCCTTTATGGCTCAAATACTATAGCTGAAGAGGAATATTTACAATGTTTATCTAAAGTCAATGCCGATGAGTCGATCTATAAATATGTTTATTGATCGGATCGGTACAACTCATTAAAAGGTTTCAAAACATGCTTCTTCTTTGTGGATACATCACTTCCAAGGAAATTTCTGGAGCTCCAAAGGTTCGTGACTGGTAAAAAAGTATTCTGGTAATAATAAAAAGTGTTCTGACAGGTTATTTTAATTCAAGAACGAAATGTGCTACAAATCTTTCACGAAAATGCATTTTTTAAGTTGTGTTTAAAAGTATTGTTAAGATTGTTTTTCTTATAAGGAATATTAAATTAAAGGATTAAACATAAATTTCAGGGCTAAGAAAACTAACGAAATTATTATTAGTGATTAAAAATTTGTTATAATACTGAAGTATTGAGTTGTCCATCGATATTTTTTCTTTAACGTAATAACTTATTCATTAATTCAAAAAAGTGCTACACAGCATAATATTTTTAACTAATAAAAATTTCATAAACGAATAATAGCTCATTTTTCTAGTAACAACAAATCAACAAATACCAAGTTTATTTTTCTAGTTTATTCACTTCACCCACCCCAATTGGACTGGGATAGCCTGGTTGGTAGGGCGTTGGGCCAGAGAGTTCGATCACTGCAGTCTAATTTGTCTAATTTTGTCAAAATTGACTGGTGCTGAATTTGTCAAGGTCACACAGTCCTCCAAGATCGCATAACAAATCAATACATCTTGGATAATGGTTAGAAGATTGATCGTGTTCTGGTTCAGGTCAAAACTAAGATCTGCGAATGAATGGATGATGTGAGACTGTGTCCTCCCTGTAAAACGGGCTGTGACGTATGTCTGTGGCTGAAGACGTAGATGGAACCCTCTCTGCCTCAAAAATTCGCTTGATCAAGCAGGCTTGCTCTGACAAAGTAGCTTAAGTAACAACAACAAAACTCCACTATTCCGTGACCAACGGTATGAAGGTGGTAACAAATTGAGAGTCGATAGTGTTTTCTTCCCGGGCTAGCTGGTACCTATCCATTTTAAGCTGGGTGGGGTTAAAATCACCACAGGATATCGCACTCCAGTTCTTTAAAATGATAGTTCAGCGCCTAAAGTACTGATCCACCGCGAGTTAGCAGTCTACTATTTTCTACTTTTGCACCAATTATGTGAGATTGCGAAAATTAGTTTTGCATAGAAAGTTTAATTTACTTAAGCCTTTCAGTCACAAAAATGATTCGATTTGTTCTTTGAATCGCTCTCTTGACTGACAAGTGATTTTATTTATTAGTTTACGCGGCAAATTACTTATGCGAACGTAATTTTCTTATTTATTTCAACTAACCAAACCAGCCTAATTATCAGTTCCTAAGATAAGTTTTCCATTTAAACTTTTTCTATTTTTATTAAATTCTAAATATTATGTTATCTTTAAAAAAAATATGAATTTAGCTTAAAACTATACTTACAAAAACGCTCACGTCTCCCAAATATTTTATCAAATCTTTATTAACAAATTTTACGATTAGAATTGTAAGGCGAATATTTGTTTTTTACCAAACGAATTTGTCTTTTTTAAATAGTGCATTTTTGCTCGTTTATAGACAAAAATAATCTGGATTTCTTATCCTTTTTTAAATCTAATATTTAACTTAGAATATGCTTAAACAATTTTTATATCGTAAGCATTTGCAAGTAGAGAAATAAACGTATAGATAAGAATTTTAATAGGTAAGAAAAAGGAAAAAAGTCTAAATTAGTTTTCAGCTATTACTACATTTTCACTCAATCTAACTTGCTTCACCTGCTTGAAAATAAAGCTCTAGTTACTTAAATTTAATATCTAATGGATACAAAGCAGATAATTTAAGTGCCTTCTGATTGAAAATCAACTTTAACCAGTTAAAAGCGTTTGACGTGTATTCTATTGCAGTGCGTATGATGTGCATGCTCGTCATTCAAAATTAAAAAAATTACCATAACTATCAAAACTCGAATTTTCAATAAAATACAATAAGAACCTTATTTGGTGGTAAATTTCTTCTTTATTACCTTACCACTATTTAACTAAGAAAAATGGCTTTCAATTGAAGACACGCCCTCTGTTATTAAGCAGGTTTTAACATGAAAAAGCTTGTTAAGCAATTTTGGCATCAACAGCATAAGGTAAGAGATTTTTTTTAATTCAAATCCATACTCCAGCCTAAAAGACAGAATGTTATATCCGAAGCTTCTTAAATGTTTTGTTTTCAATATAAACATTCGTCTCTATCATCCTAGTCAGGATGTTATTGTAATTATGTAATGAGTAATGCTTGTTCCTGAGTAAGGAAGAAAAATTTAAAATATTTTCTTGGGATGGAAAACGGTTTCTTTTTATGTTAATCAAGATCGATGTCAATACTTTGCATCCGGCTTTACGGTCAACTAGTAGTTGATTTTGCTTTCAAAATGTTACTTGTCGTCAATATGTCACCGTTGTTAAGCAACAAACGTTCCTTTAGAGAAAACTGACTGAAGAGCGTGGATCACTTTCTTGTAAAAATTACTCCACCATTTTCAATTTATTTCAAAATAAAACAGCATCAAAGTCTGGAAAGTATATTTTGATTTCCTATAGTCCATTCTTGAAGACCACCATGATCTGTATTGATATAAATAAATTTTTGTATTAATTGATTTCAGCAAACAAACCGAGGCACCACTTTACGAATTTGTCAGCAAATTCAAATTTGTAACTTGTCAAAAAAGAAGCCACTGATTCCAAAAATATATATTAAAGCTCTGCCACTTCTTCTGGAGTAGAAGACCTGTAGTTGACAAATTTTTCAAAATATTCCCATCTATGATTGCAAACGCTTTTTTCTCATAATAAATCTGAACAAATAGAAGAATCATCTTGATTGATTTCCAGTTTATTTGAACGTAGTCAAAATCCAAAAAATTATTGAATAATGGAAAAAAATATATTGATTAGTTAAATAATATTTGAATAAAGATTAAATTAAGTAATTTTGGTCTTTATTTCTCATTAATTAGTCAAGAATGCAATTAAAATGCGAAATTTCTTGAAATACTGCTCAACAGTAATGGGAAGAGACTGCTGTAATCAATTACAACTGTTATTAACTACATATAAAAAGTACATGACATTAAACTACTTTAAATCTTAACCCCGTCATGATTGCATGTAATCATGATTACAAATTTATTACTAGTCTCAGTAACAAGTAACAATAAATTTTGACAAAAATTGCCCATGATTACTTGTAATCACAACAAAAATCGATTATAGGTGAACATGATCACAAGTAACCAAAATGTTTGTTAACAAGCATCGTGACTATAAGTAATCATAATGTACAATCACAAGCAATCATGATTATCAATGATCATAATTTAACGGTTTCAAGAACTCTAAAAACAAATAATTAAAACAAGCACACTTAAAATACTGAAAAATTGTAGAACCGTATGGATCGCATTCTCATAAAAGATACAAATTCATTTTATTATATTTAAAAATAAAATAGCTGATAAGTTTGAAAGAACAAAAACATTTTCTTATTTTCTGTTTTTGAATGCTTTCATGATTTCTACTGTTATATCACTATTTTTGTCAATACTGTCAGAATCCTCCTTGTATTCTGTGTTGTCGCCTTCAGCATGTTTGTCTAACATATAAAACAACGCCCACCTTTTATAGTCCGCAACAGTTTCGCTACAGTAATCCGAAAAAGGTTCGATGTTATCCAATTTGCATTTAAGTTTTACAGCTGTCCTTTTTGAGATAGAAAGCCATTTAATTAATTCATTCGGGTGGTAAAAATTAGGATAATCCTCATGCACAGCACGCACCAAAAATGCCATTCCTTTCTCAGAAGTCACAAATGAATTTTTGAAACGATTGACTTTATCGACAGAACCGAGGCACCACATTACGAATTTATGAGCAAATTCATATCTGTAATATTCTAAAAAAGATATTACTGATTCCAGGAACGTATTTTTAAATTCTGTTACTTCTTCAGGGGAACAAAAATTATAATTGACAAATTTCTCAAAATTTTCCCACCCTTGATTTTGAGCACTTAAATCCCATAATAAATCTGAACATATAGAAGAACCATCATCATCATCTACTTCGTGGATAAATGCTTTTTTGAATTTATAAATATCGCCTTCATTTTCAAAATGCCAATTCATGAAACGATCAATTAGATCATAATCACCCATGCAAACTAAAGACTTGTAGATTTTATTCTTGTCCAATATTTTTCCCTTAAATTCCCGAACTTCTTTTGCTGATTTAAAACTCCACGTGAATAGTGTTTCAATTGCTTGAAAATCATTTTCACATATCCAAGCTTTGCACAAATCCTGTCCGTACTCTACCATCACGCTGTACTTGAAGTGTTCGATGTCGTCACTTGAAGTCAGATACTTCGTCATTAAAGTGTCAATTAAACTCAGTTTGTTCGAACGCAAAGTCGAAAATAATCCATAACTCTTAATCATATTAAAAAGAATCTTTTTACTTTCTTTCTCAGTAGCGCATTTTAAAATCATACATATAGTTTCAACATCATCTACAGCAATAAAACGACATAAGAATATGCCTGAAGAATACTCTAAGAACTGAATCAATGATTTCTTTAATTTTAATGGGCTTTTCATCCAAATTTCCCTAAACACTTCAATTATAATTTCGTTCCCTTCTCTGATTTCCTCAAAAATACGTGGCATTATTTCAACAAAAGTTTCCTCTGAAACGCAGTCCAATATTATACAGAATGTGGGCAAAAAGAATCTTTGCCATGGCCAATCATAAAATAAAGCTTTCAAAATTTTTTTTGAATGAGCTTGAAAAAACTCTTTTTGTTGATTTTTATCATTCAATTGTGATAACAAAAAACATAAACTATTCGTTTTATCGTTGCAGCTTAGATATTCATGTCTTTCCCAATCTGAATATTTACTTATGGCAAGGTTCAACCATTTTTCTAAGTATACAATTCTTTCATTTTCTTTCAGTTTATTCCAAAAATACTTGAGAGAGTATGGGTTTTTAGCAAAAATAGACAGTGAAATCATGTTTTGTTCAATACTAAGATCATTGTCATAGATGTTATCGACATCACTTTGCTTTAACTTGTCAAACAAATTTAGCAATTTGTTTTCCATAGAAGCAGTCCAATATGCAATTATGTGATAAGCATAATTTTTATAGATGTAATCAAGTTCATTCTTTTTGTCGGTTGATATCTTACCCCATAGATATGGGAGGCATTCTTCAAGGCAGTATTTACAGGCTACTTCATATAAGCAATAAAAATCTTTTTTCTGATCTCCATTATTAATGAGTTCTTTCAGAGATGTTACGTTATCAATAATTCCTTCCATTGTCCAGTAGACTGAACCTCCCATTTTGAAGATATCATAAAATCTGCAATATCCTTTGTCCTCATTCGGAACAATTTCTCCATAACAGTAATATTCTTCGATTTCTTTTGCAAAACCTTTGAACAACTGCAATCCTATTGGTAGAAAATTTTTTGAAACTTTGCATTTTAGTGTATGTGGCAAGACCATGTCAGCAAGTTTTTTTAACACTCTATTTTCATATTCCTTGTAAATTTTCTCAGCCGACCAAGTTCTAGAATCGAAACCATAGCTTTCTGAATATTGTCTTATGTCTTCTTTTATATCTAATTCTGACCATAGTCTGCTAGCTGTAGACACTGCAGCTATATGTTGTAAAGTAGGTGGCTCTGATATATAACTAATGAAACATCCGTTTTCTGTATGCTCCTCTGTGTCTTCTCTCTTGCTTTTTTTCCACATCATAAAACTCATTTTCCTTCCTTTTTATATCTGCAAAATATAGTGTCCAATATTGATAAAATATATAAAAGTAAATAAATATTATATAAGTAAATAAATATTATATTATAAATGAAATATAAGTAGTAAAATATGGTGAATCGTTTACATGCAACCTGATTAATATCTCTTACGCCTATACGAAATAAGCTTATATGAACTTTTTTTATACAAGAGTTTGATAATTTATAGAATTATTCCTCCATTTTTAATTGAAAATTGATTACAACTGATAATAATTTTTTATCAAAATTACACTGCTATTGCTTTCTTAGACACTATTTACTCTGAAATAACTTCAAAATAATTCAATAGTTCGAAAACAAGAATTAAAAAAATCTTCTTTAAAAAAAGTCTCATCCCAAATGTCTTTCTTATGGATCAAATACCTGGATTTAGTATGAAGTATATTAACAAGGTTTCATGAAAATCTTTATTTATCAGATCAGTATGAAACATTAAAAGATTTCAAAATAATAAGATTTAATAATTGCTTTCAACAACATTTCCAGAACTCGTCATGATAGGTCTCTTCTGGAATGTTTTTTAAATCATTGGTATAAGCTTCATGAACTTTGTCAGCTGACCAAATAGATGTCCTTTCATTGGACTCATCAAGTGTGGAAGCAAAAGCTTGCATCGTAGAGTGGCTGCAGAACCGTTGGCAGTTAATATTGGTCAGGAGTTGAATGACGAACATGGTGAATTTGCAAATTTACAATCGCCCACTTTGTCCAGCTGGAACTTTTTTGAGTGTTTAATGCTTGCTTTAATTAATGTGCTAAACAAATGTAATTTAACTGTCTGACTTCAAGACTTTAGTCATACAGGTAGCATCACATTTCGTTGCAAATGTTCTCCAAAATTTTTAAAAATTAATTTTTGATTAGATATGTTTAATAAATTAAAATGTTTTAAAATAGGCTCTTTTTGACCAGATACATTACTTCCATTGAAATTCCCAGGTTTAAAAAACACGCAAGGCTCTTTCTGACTAATAGAAGGTTTACAATATTTGATATTGTCGTCCTGCCAGAACTTTTAGGAATGTTTAATGTCAGCTTTGTTAGAAACATTAACATGGATGAGTTCAAGAACTCAGTCACATGCATTGCTTCACACTTTCGTCGTTGATGGCATTCTACCACCAGTTTCATCGTTTATCTGCGTAAAACTTTCAAAAATTGAATTGCACCTGTGATAAATTCTGTCACAAGTTTCATTTCCCCCAAAAATTTAATTCTGTACCATTCAAAATTTAGTAAAAATTACACGAGCATTATTGGTGATCATCCCAATAAAAGCATCACTTCTGTCCTTATACAATCGTATTTCGGTGCATGATCGTTTATCGTAAAATATTATAATTGGTTATTGAATTTTGTGTGATGTAAAAATAATGTTTATAGAAAACTCCTTATCATTTTAAGTTTTTTCTAACTACAAAAGTAACTTAGGAAATTGCTTGAAATTTCTTAAATGTTTAAGATATTCGCAAATCGGACTTTTTATTAGATTCACAACAAAATTATGAAAATTTGTTTTACTTGTGCAGTATCAAACTGCTCTAAGTATTTATATATTAGTGCAGTTTTCAAAGAATTTTTTTCAAATTTTAAAAAATACTATTTTGTAATTAATTTTAAATTGCCCAAATTTTTTTTCGTATTGAATATTTTTAAAGTTATGGCAAAAACTAAGAAGTAAGCAAAAACTAAGAAAAAAAAAATGAAATTTTTATAAAAAAAAGTCCGTATTTCTATAAATATTTAAGTCTGACTTACGAAATTTTATGTAATTATTTCAAATAATAACCAAAATAATTTTTGAAAGTTATAAATGTATTGCTACATTTTGGACATAGGGCGTTCAAAATCAATATTTTCCTTTTGTAATTCATTGTTGGTCCCTCAAACCTTTAAAATCTTAAAACTTTATTTATAAGTATCAGAAATTGCATGATCGAAAAATTTCCGAATTTATAAAATGATTCTTTAAGTATCTCGTGAGAAATATGAAGAAAAGTTATTAGTATAAAAGTGTTTCCATTATTTTGTCCATCCCTCTGTGTTTTTGACTTAATTTTTGATGACGTTTTTTTGAAAACCGTGTATTTAGATTTGCAATTATGTGGGGGCCTTAGCAGAGCATTTGGCTATCAAATTAATCTGTATATCAATAGTCTTACAACTAACAGATAATCCTGCAAGATTATTGTAAAAATACAAACTCAACATTGAACATTTTTCGGAATCTTAATCTTAAAAATAATCAAAATTTATATTAAAAAAAAATTCGATTATTGTTTAAGAAAGCAATAGAAAGGCAATAATTCAAAACACTTTCAAAGCATTTTGAATTTTTCAAAATAGGAAAAGACAAAAAGTGAAAAAGGAAAATAAAAATTTCAAAATTTTCGAATGCTTGCCTAAATTATCCTAAAAATGAAAGGTAGCAATAGAGAAGAATTCGAATGCAAAATTACACAGTATATCTATATTATTCATATCAATATTATATTATATATTATTCATATTAATATTATATATATATGTAACGTAAAAAGCTTATATTATTTCCCTGCTCGGTCCGACTGCATCATTTTACATATATATATATATATATATATATTCAAAATCTNTCTCTTTTTTTAGAATTAATTTCAAATAATTGTTACATTGCAAACAATTTATAAAATTCGTGGTTTAAAGCAATGTTATAATTAGTTTAATGTCTATATATATTATATATATATATATATATATCATGTATCAAAATTATTATCAATTAGAGAAACTCAACACTTAATATTTTTTAAATCTTAAAATCTGAAAAAAAAAACTTAAATTATGATTTTAAAAAACAAATGCTTATTGTTTAAGAAAGTAATAAAGAAGCAATAATTACCTTTTAAAGCCTTTCTGAATTTTTCAAAATGGGAAGATATTTTTACGTGGTAAGGTATCAAAATGTGAAAATAGAATGAGAAACTTTTAAAAATGTCGAATGCTGATTTAAATTATCTTAAAAATAAAAAGTAACAATCGAATTTGGCTTCCAATTTACGCTGTATATCAGTAGTTTCACAATTAACAGATATCTTCCTTTATCTGTAATTTACGGGAAATAAAATGTATTGCTTGAATCTTTTTTTTTTATTTATTATTTTTATCAACATTATCGTTGAAGAAGTTTTAATAGGTGATTGAAAAAATGAAATAAGTGTTGAATAAATGGACGCCTGATATGCATTACAATAATATCAAGTTACAATAATTTCTTCTTGTTATGTTCTTAGTTTTCTCCACTTTTTTTATTTATTTATTTAAAACTGTTATCTTCATAAATTTTAAAATAACAATGTATATATACTTGTTTTGTGAATTCCTTAAGTTATTTTCCTAACAAAAATTAGAATTTATTTTACTCATTTCTAGTTTAAATTTACTTACCTATTTTTTTCTCGACTTTTAAACTTATGTTTAAGAAAAATGTAATTTTATTATAAAAGATGAATTAGAGTAATTATAAAATAGTGAAATATACGGAAATGAGCATTTGTCATTCAGAATAATGCATTAAAACTAAAGAATAATTATTCAAATTACTCTTGAATAATAAGTAAAATTTCGTTCATTAGTCAGAAATATTTTGCATAAGGATAAAATTATTCTATATGAACTATCTTTATTTCTCATTCATTAGTCAAGAATAAATTCAAAATGAATAATTTCTTGAAAAAATACTGCTCAATAAAAATGGGTGCGACTACTGTAATCGATTACAACTGTCATTAACTACAGATAAAACTATATAGCGATAAACTATTTGTAATCATTATTACAAGTACTCTTGAAACAATTATTTCTGATCATAAGTGGTTATTATCGCTTGCAATCAGAACAAGAAGCGATTATAGGTGACAAGTACACTGGTGTGCAAAACTTAAGCAACAAGTGCGTTTTTTGTCATAACTCTACAAGAAATCATCCGATTAACATGAAATTTGAATATGACGTACTTTATTTTGTACTTAAACGATGGTAAAAGAATAATGGAGCAGAAATGAATATAAAGCTTAAAGTAGGGTATGGAACAAAAAAGGCTTTATTTGACATATAGTGGCGTTACACATGATTGCCTGAAGAAGCGTAAGTACAACTGGCAGATGTTCCCTAGTATGGGATATGCCCTCCCCTTACTGTAATTGTTGCTTGGCATCGTCTCTCCATGCTAAGCACCAGATTACCCAGGAAATCTTGCGGTAAACGTCTGCATTCCTCCTTTAACGCATTTTTCAGCTGATGGGTGTTACCAGGAGGATACTGTCGTGTCGCAAGACGTCTCCCTAATGCATCCCACGCATGCTCTATGGGATTTAGATCTGGAGAGTAAACTGGCCAATCCATTCGTGTGATATCTTCACTTTCTAGTAGCTCTTTAACATTAGCAGTACGGTGGGGCCCGGCATTGTCATCCATAAAAATGAAGTCTGGTCCAATGGCCCCTCGGAACAGACGCACATGGGGTAGGATTACCTCATTGCAGTAGCAGTCTCCAGTTACAGAACCTCGGTCGAAGATCTCAAGTCCGCCCGTTCAACATAATGCCACCCCAGACGACAACTCCAGGACCACCGTAACGATTTCTTTCCGCGATGTTATTGGGATGAAATTGAGCTCCAACCTCTCTCCAGATCAACTGACGTTGAGAATCGCTTGTAGCACTAAAACGACTCTCATCTGTGAAGAGGACGCGACTCCATTGATGAGGTGTCCAGGTTTCGTGTTCTCTGTACCACTTTAAACGGTGCCGCCGATGGCTAACTTTTAAAGGTATGCAGCGCTTAGGACGTCTAGCAAAAAAGCCACCTTTGTGAAGGCGTCTGGCCATTGTAAATCTTGATACTTGTCGTCCTGTGGCTGTGCACAGTTGCTGAGAAAACGGCTGACTGAAAATGGTTTCTTTTCGCCTGGAGGACAATGTAACGGTCATCTCTTTGTGTTGGTTTCCTTGGACGTCCACCACCAACCTTCCGAACAGCTGTACCAGTAGTTTTAAAGGCATTCCAAGCATGAGAAACAACACTTTTGTTGATCCCGAACTCTTCGGCGACACTGGTCACACTACGCCCCTCCTCAAGCTTCCCAATCANCGTGCCACAGGTCCCTGGTTCGATCCTCGGGCCGGGCAAGGTTGACTCAGCCTTTCATCCCTTCAGTGGGTCGATAAATGAGTACCAAGCATGCTTGGGAACTAAACACTGTGGGTTTCGCGTTCGACTGACCCACCTAACCGGAACATCTGCTCCTGCACCCCAGAGCCCAAAGGTCAAGAAAACAGAGATGGGCACAGTAGGCATTGGCCCTCTATGAGCTGTCGCGCTGCTGAGTTTTGTATAATTTAGTCACATTTATTATTACTATTGGTGTCATTTTTATTATGTAGCCTAGTACTATGGATGGTGTTTTCTACACTAGGGAACGTTGCAAGCTCCATACCGCCAATACTTCCGGGTTACTGTTTCCGGTGTATTTTAAAGCCATTTGGCTCACAGCTTGATCATTGTGCTTTGAGATTCTTTCAAACGTGGTATTTGATTACTTATTACTTGTGTTTACAATGCTAACAATACTTGTATTTACAACGCTTAAGGTGCTATCACTAACGTAAGATGGTGCACAGCTTTCAACAAGAACAAACAGCAATAAACAAATGGAAAAAGGCCAAATCAGGATTGACAAAAAAGCGGGTTATTCAAAATCTAACAACCATGTCACCTTTTTTAACAATATATCTATAAATAACAAAAGCAAATTTTCATTTCAAACTCACCAGAATTACTTAATAACATTAATATCTTCTGAAATACATCAGATTTAAACTCAGAAATTATCTAATTTATTTCTTTTATTGAAAACAAAATTATCCGTTTGAAAATATCGCCTAGCAGAATAAGCTGTAGTAAGCAGTTGCAAACTTTCTAACAGGAACTAAAGTAGGTATTGATCTAGAGATTGTTATTGTTTACATTTATATTAAAAACACCATCCATAGTCATATTTTTTACTTTAATTAAAAAAAATCACGTTCATTCAGAGAAAAGGTGTTCTTGTGTTTAATTTCGTTATCTGAAATATCGTTTGCACAAATTAATTAGCGTATTTGAGGTTAATCATTTGAATCATAAAGATAGACACTTATAGTTCCTGAAATTCCGATCATTTGAACAAAAGTTATTCAAGGTAATGCCCGCATTTTTGCAAACTGTACATCGAAATAGTTGCATCTTGTTTTTAACAATGCGTTCGCTGTTAGGGGGATTTTCCTTGTGTAACGTAAGAAGATATTGTTTAAAATCTAAAATCAGGCAAATATCGAAAGAAAAAGGACACTAAGCACAATCAATACGTCAACCAATCCACTTCTGCTGCTCCGAAGAAGATGGATTGTAACGTAAAAGTGTCTCTTCACGCTTCCGGTGAAGAATTTATACTAGAATGACCTTCTGTATGACTTGACGTTTAATTACAAAATTTTTCAACCATTTATAATGTCTATTAATTTTATCTCATGGAATTGTCGTGGTATAAGAAATAAGCTTTTAGATATCAGGGATATTATTTGTAAATATTAGCCTGTATGTTTCGCTCTGCAGAAAACTCATTTAATGTCATCTCATAGTTTTAAATTGCGTAATTACTCTTGCGCTCCCGACAAAATTTCGATTATGGAAATCATCCTCATGGCGGCGTAACAATTTTAACTTCAAAAGCTTTTCAATCAGCTCACCTTTCATTATCAACCTCATTACAGGCTACCATAGTTCAAATCCATAAAATTGTTCTCCTCTCAGTCTGTCTATCTACCTCGTCATGTACCCATTTCTCAAACAGATTTCAACTCACTGATAGTTCAGTTACCTTCGCCTTTTATTTTGCTCGGAGATTTTAATAGTCATAGCGAATTGTGGGATAGTTCCGCCTCCGATGACTGGGGGCGTAAAATCGAACAACTCATCCATGACCATAATCTCTGTTTGCTTAATAAAGGCAAAGAAAGTTACTTTAATCCACCTAGTGGAATGTCTCATTCCATTGATCTTGCATTACGTTCACCCACTATCTTACCTTCTATAAACCTTTCTGCGAGTTAAAATCTTCCCAACAGTGATCAATTTCCCCTCATTGTATCATATTTTGCTTCTGTTCCCATGAGTTCATGACCATCAACTTTCATATTTCATCGAGCTGGATATGGAGAATATGATAACTCGTAATACTATAAGTGCTGCTGTTAATAATGTTACATCTGTAATTTTCCAAGTGGCAGAAGAAAATATTCCAAAGTCGTCAAGTTCACTTCCTTGCCACCGCAAGTCGAAGTGGAATGAGGAATGCGCAGCTACCTACAAAGAGCAGTGACGCTTGTGGAACATCTTCCGCCGTTACCCTTACACTCTTAACCTTATAGCCTTTAAATGGGAAAAAACTATATCACGAAAGATCAGACGCAAAAGTCAAAGAGAATCTTGGTCCCATTATGTCTCGTCCATAACATCTTCTACATCTCCCAGAGAAGTCTGATCGAGAGACAAGCGAGTTAGCGGCATATATCACGAATTTCAATTTCCGATATTTCAGAACCGGTACCATTTACTTTTCTCCTGCAGACGTTTGTAATATGCTTGATGATGCATTTGCTGCTGTCTCGAGAGTTACAGTAAATCGTTTCAACACCATAAGCAGAACGTCGAAAGGAATAATATAATTTTCAAATCGCGACGCCTCTGTCAATATAACAGTGATTTTAGATTTACCGAATTACAGAGAGCACTGTATCGAAGTAAAAACACAAGCCCCGGTCTCGATGGTATTACGTATAACATGCTCCCCGTAAATGAGGTAATGACAAGGTATGTGTAAGCTTGTTACAATCAAACCACTAGGCCTATACTTTGCTGCTTTTGATGTGGAAAAAGAAAACACGGTATCAGGGGCAACTTCATACGC